GCCCTGCGGCAGCGCCGCCCGCCCCGCCCCGCTCCGGCCCGGGAGGCCGGGATTACATAACGGCGCCGGAGCGAGCAGCTGCAGGACTACAGCATGCGGATTGGGGATTACGTTGATTCAGCAGATTGTCCTGTGCACGTCTGAGCAAGATTACACCAGCGCGGTTAAGAATACCCGTTTGCTGTGGTAAGCCGTGGTTTAAGTAGAACAAATTAACTCAATACAAAATTAAATGCAAAAAAAAAAGGAAAAAAAATGAAGTAAAACATCCCAAGTTTAAGAACTTCTTTAGTGCTTTAATTTAAGGTGCTTTAAATGGAGAAAATAATAGAGACTGAAATTCAGGTTTTGACAATTATCCCTCCTGTGTTTTGGAACAGCTGCCGGTAGCAGCAAGCAGCTGTTAGTGCTGGATAAATCCTAAAAAATCAAAATCATTATTACAAAGACCAGTTACACTGGATTCCTGACGACTGACATGTAAAGTAAATATCTAAACTCTTATGACATGAGTTCTGATTGCTGGATCTGAGATTATTGACATTTGAGAGCTGACATTATGAGGGACACTACATCTGCCACTGAGGTATGAATAAAAATTAACCATGCAGCGACAAACTTTAAGTTGCATTCATTTAGTTGATTTCTTACAAGACTTAGGGATGAAACTTGGAAGCAAAAGTGGCACAGAAGAAATCAGTAAGCACACAGAATGATAGAATAGTGGTGGGGGTTGTTTTCCAGGACTGATAGTGATTTTTTTGAATGCAAGGGTCTTGCAAGATTTAATAATTCCCCTCACATAAGCACACACAAGCTTGAAACTGGAATCTCTACCTCAAAATCAAAAATCTGTGGTATGACTACAGTAGTTACATTGGACAGAAGCCTCAACTTTGTAACTTTGCCAATGTCGGTATGAATATCTCATACAATAGAATTGGGGTTTCAGATGGAAATCTGCAGTTGTTTGCAAGCTGTTTAGGAAAGTTTTCCCTGAAATTCACTGTAGTGTCTCAAATTTCAATTTCAACACCATGACGAGAGCTTTACCCCCTGTTTTAGTATAGAATTAATCCTAAACGTACTTTAGTGGATAAAAATGAGAATGTAAACCTAAATTTTTGCTGTAGAGATTTCTAAGATAAGAGGACTCAGCCATTTGTTGTCATTTCAGAAAACTGCAATGGAAGGAATTTTGAAGAACTGTTTCCAAAACAATTACCCTGTCAACCAAAGCACACTGAGATTTGTCATGTATTTGTCATCTGCTTTAGCTTCCCGTCTTTTGTCAGAATTTCCTGATATTGTGGTTATCCCATCCTAAAAGAAACTTCCAATGCATAAATTTAAGTAAAACATTGTTCTTATACAGATTTGTTGTAAGATCTCACCTGTAATTCTTCCTTGTAGAGATCCTCATTTGTTTTGATGCCTTAGGTTTTAGCTTTTATATTTTTCAGGTTCTATACTGCTTTAGTGTGTAGTTCTGATCTTGATACTAAGGGATGGTGAGCTCTCTTCACAGAGTAGGGAGACAAAACAATTCCTTTCCTAGCTTGGGACCAAGGACAACCACCCAAATTTCAGGCCCAAGAGCACAAACAATGTGGACTGAAGAGAGAAAAAACGAGAAGGATGGGCCTTCATAACTTAAAGCTATACCTGGACAATTAACTCCAATATGCAAATGGAGCAGAACTCATAAAAGCGAGAGACCTCATGGCCAATTGTCCATTTTGGTTATCTTGGCTGTAGCCCTGGCCGGGCTCTTGTACTGCCCAAGGTGGATCTGTTGAGGTCTTTTAATAAATCCCTTTCACTCCATCCAGCCTCTGTTCCAGGCCAGCCTTCACAAGGCATCAGTTTCAGGCAGTTTGATGGATTTTTTCTGATGCCTGATGATTTTCTATGCTCAGGTCAGTTCTGAGCTTCAGACACTGAAGGTAAGAGAAGTTATACCTAGGTGAGAAAAAACAGACTCCTTTTAACAAGACTTCAGGACAGTTCCTGGCTCTTGGAGAAAGTATGAGGTGTAGACTACTGACTGCTTGACAGGTATCAAGGACATCTCAGAAGGAAATTTATATTTAATCAGCATAATAAGCAATTTTAAAAAAAAATCCTCTTCATTGTTTTCATGACCAAATATTTGAGCTCAATATTGGGGCAGAATGAGATTTTACCTTTTTTGATTTTTAGAAAGAATATATAATGCAGTAAAATCCCATTCTCAAAGATAGCTGTAAGGTGCAACTTAATCTAAATGTACAAACAATGTATATTTGAAATAGCCACATGACTGAAACGATCTTCTTTAATTTGGGGGAGCGTTTATATAGAGATTAATTTTAAGAATGTTTGAATAGCAAAGATCCATAAACCAAAGCCCAAATCGTTATTCAGTGCTTGCTTTTTATCTGCCTGTGCTCACTGAGACTTACAGGTGCTGTGGATGCTGAGGCCAGCTAACAGTAAAAGTACAGAAAACCAAGAGGCAATACAGATTCTGATTTAAATTGATGGGGAGTAAAGCACACAGGTTCATTTAAAGACAAATCTAACGAGTTCAAGACTTGTTCCAAAATATCTCAGTATACACAGGTGACCTAACTTTCATGTATAAGCATTTCAAACAATGCATTACTATTCTTAATATCAGTTTAGATGACAAAGATGAGGGGAAAAGGGTAGAACTGATAAGATTTTTCAACAAGCTGGCACAGAGCAAAACAGGCTATATTTTAAATTTCAGTTTAAAATATTCTTAACTGGATATACAAAGTAACATTTCACAAACTCCCAAGATACATGGAAGATAAAAATTTGAGCATTCATACAGCAGGATTTTTAGTTTCTGTGAGCATAGGCTATATCTGCATGTAGAGGAAAACTCAGTTTGGAAAGTGCAAGAAAGGTGCACAGATGATCTTTGTGTTTCTAGTATGAGCTCAATGCACACACAGGCGTGAGTTACAATCAAATTTAGCAACAATTTCTGCTGTAGTGCTTCCTTTTCTTTAAATATATCATCTTATTATCTAATGAGATAGTCCAGTTTATTCTTTTTAGAACACTGATACATACTTGAACTTCTGTTCAGAATGCAACACCTCAGAGAAAAACATCTAAGTACATGATTACCTAATTATGTACTTTTCAGTCTTAAAAACAAAAAAGTCAAAGCTGTGAATGCTGTCAGCAACACCTCTTTAAAAAACCATCTTTAGACCCATATTGTGATATTATCAGAACTTAAAAAATAAAGTTATGCTTTCACATTGGCGAGGAAGTATTTTCACTCCCTCCCTTTGTCACCCCCTATTTCCTTGAATACACAGGCAAAAAAGTTTGAAAATACATGATTAGTAGTTCCACAGCCTTCCTCAAACTGCCTTGCTCTCTACACTCATCTTATAAACAATTTGTCTTACATGGAACAATTAGTACTAGTCCCAGGAGCTGATGAGTTGCATAGCACATCCCTTTAACACACTGATGCAGTAGAAAACCACCAGCTTCCCCTAAGGGATTTTCTGTCAGATCATTGGATTTTGGCATCTTCTCAAAAAGTTAAACTTAGACCAGGAGCTGCACCAGAGATACTGAGGTACATTCTGACAGTAAGATGAAGGAGAGGATACGCCAGATCTCCTTTTGGCAGTAGCAAAACTCAAGCTGTTTTGTCAGTTCAAGGATTCGTATCCTAATTAAATCTAGTACAGGAGCTAGGCATGAAATTTAGGTTATACCTCGTGTTTATATTTAATGAGAATTATTGGATATTATACAATTTTGTGGAGCTTTCTGTGAAAAGGGAAACTAAATGAACAAAGACTATTTGCTCCAATGAAACACAAATTTAAATCAGATTTTTGATGCCAGTGTAAAATATATGTATGATACCATTTATATGTACTACATTTTGTGAGTATTTTGAATTCAGCAATAAACTTTTAGTTTTTTTGGTAACCCTAGAAAAATGTGCAAGTGATCCTGTGAGCATGACGGGGTGTTGCCCTGTTCTGTCCTTGGCCCCCGTACACGTGTCTGTCTTTGGGGTAACTTCACCCGCGCTGCACTGTGTGTAAACTGGAAACCTTTCTAACAGCACATGTAGAATCCAGATCTTGACTGCTAGAAAAACCAATCTCCAGGATGATTTATTTCTTTTGAAAAGATTTTAGTTCTGAAGCGACCCCTGTTCATTTGTTTCTTCGTGCCACATGCTGCGTTAATTGTTCTTGCTTCTGTTCACAGAGCAAAGCGTAGCTGCGAGCCAGCTCGAGAGGACGCCTCTGGGTGGGGACCTTGCTGGTAACAGCCCGTGTCACTTTGTCTTCTATGGACAGGACAGTTAAAAAGCTAGAGAAGCCACGTGTGGTCCCATGAAAACCAGAAGCATCTACTTATAAAGTAAGTACAAATGCATTACACCTTTTGAAAAGGGCCTCTACAGAAAGTCAGCTGTTAAAGCTGCAGTATAGGCAGCTATTTATCATAAAGCTGATAATTTATTTTATTTGCTCATTTAATGGTTAAAATAAAATAATCTTCTTCCAATATAGGACAGTTTGCTTAAGTATTTACTTTACATACACTCTGAAGAAAGAACGAGCAAACATGAGAAAATGATGTATTATGTTAGACTTGTTCAGTAACCTATTTGGTATGGTAAAACTTGGCTATACCTAACAAGAAAACAGAATACAGCTAGGATAGATGGTTATAGAGTTGGCATGTCTACAGAATAAGTTTCTTTTAGTAATGTCAAGTGAACATTGGTTTCGGTCCAGGCAGAGAGTTTCTATTGTATATTTAAAAAATCATTGTACAAGTTCTGATAAATTCACAGCTTATATTACTAATTTCACCTGACATCCAGACATGAGGAACAATCAAGTAAAACACATATTGACTCTGAGAAATGACAAATTAGAAAGTTCTTGTTTGTGGAATGGAAGAATTCTACCACCAAGGTCTTACCTGACTAATTAGCAGTCTGAGGAATGGTTCAGTTGTGTGCACCGTCTTTCAAGGTGCAAGTGTCAATCTAATTAGCTAGCCAGAATCAATCAGACTGCCTCAATGCATTAGGTATTACAATTCTGAATAAGCATGGCAGTTTTTTAAAAGTATTCATTGTTTAAACATGCTGAATTTAGGGTTACTCTGCCTTCAGGGATTCACTGAACTTGACAGCAGACGCGAATGTTTGCTATTAACTGTGAATTAATGGAACTTACATATAACAGTACATTACTGTCAGAGTGCAACAGATGTCTTAGCAGAACCACTGAAAGTTGCATTCCAATAGCTATTTCTTCAGGGGAAAAAGACACCAGGTTCAAAAATTATATGCTTAATTTACATGTTTATCTTTAGGTGCTGTTGCCTCTGACCAAGAACAAAAATTGTTGTTGGAATAATATGCGAACAGGTAACTTCCTCCAAGTCTTTACTTGGATACATACATCTATATCATTAGAATTCACTGAAACTGCATTGATTTTGGTAGCTGACACTGGGACTGTCACAACTGCTCTGCAGAAATGCCATCCCTCACTAGAGTTTACCAGCCAGTGGTACGAGTCCTGTAAGATGTTTGCTTTGATCACTCCTGATATTTCAATTAGTGATTGGTTGGCGTGCAGTGTAAAGCTGCTTACAAGTGAGCATTCATCAGCCCCCTTTTACCTTCTGCCAACATTTCCCACTCCTATCTCTCCCTTTTTTGTGTTAGCAGTGTAGTACTTTAGCCTCTGGACTAGGCAAGAGAGCTGAGTTGACATGTGGATTATCAAGGCTGGCTGGCTCTTCGGGGTTAAGATGGTATTGAGCCTGCATTTGCATTTTTTTAAAGCCAGGACAGTCAGGTTACAAAAGTTTAACTACAAACAGACGAGACAGTTTAGGGACACAGCACTGTACCAGCTACTAGGAAGAAAATTAACTCTGTCCCAGCTGAAACCAGGACACCTGCATGTCCTCAAAAAGAATAATTAAGAAAAAGTGTATTTAGAGGCTGCTGTTACCTCAGTCAGTTTTAAGTATTCAGTCTAGCATTAGAAAGAAACTTATTTTATTCCTCTTCACTTCTTCCACCAAAATCCAGCTTTTTTAAGACATAACTATTATGTCCTACTTCTCTTAAATCTCTCACATAGAAGGTGGTATCAAAATACATACTTATGTGTTATGTACAACATACATTGATAGAGTTCTATTAATTTTAAAGCTAAATCTTTCGTATTTTTTTAATTGCCCATCATCTCTTGACTTGTTAAACTTTTCTGTCTTCATTATGGAGTCTGACTGTAGTATACATTTGACTTTCAAAGCATATAATTTACATTTTTAAATTAATATAATGTATTAGCTTACCTCATGAAAAATCATAACACATTCACCAATGCTAATGTAATTGGAATTTGGCTTGTATTGAATTCCTTCTGATTTTCCAGTATACTCTTTTACATCATTGATTTAAAGGGATAAACTGGTGTTTTCACACTTTCCTGTCTACAAATACAGAATTGTAACTTCGAAGTTTGCAGCAAGCTACTGCATTTCAGTATCATAGGTGTGGAGTACAATAATATCTATTTTTGTATTGTAGCAAATTACAATTTATTAGTAACATTTCTTCCTAGTGTTAAAGCTTCCTGCATTTCTTTGATTGTCTTTCATAATTCTAACATCTATGTTATACTGTGTTACTCAGGTGGTTTTACTAATCAGTAGCAAAGTATTAAAACACAAAATAGAATTAATGAAAAGCACAACTGCATGGAGAAAAGGGCTACCTGATCGAGGTGGACATAGAGGTTTCTTCAAGTTTCTCATTACTGCTAAAATTAAGGTTACCATTTTCCCCTTAGTATTGGAAGAAAAGTCTATCTCTGGAAAGAAATAGCCTATAGAAAAACTCTCTGTAATTACAATCAAAAAGGTTTCAAAGGCTTCCTAGGCACTTTTTGTTCTCTCTCTCCACCTCTCTCACTTTTCTCTAATAGACCTAAGAGAAAGTGCCCGAGGTATTTTGCCAGAAGAGAAATGTCTGGTTGGGCTGCAGAGCTGGTCCTCGAGACAGAGATCACACCTTAGCAGTGTTCATTCTCCCAAATGTTCCAAGGCATGAATGGCTGGAGGCATTTAGCATTCTTCAGTACTCTGCCCCTGTGCCAGTGTGAGACAGGTCTGTTTCTGCATAAAGATGAAGAAGTAGAACCAACAAGGCAGGACTTTAAGGAGGCTAACAAATTCTCATTAATTCTCATGAGAATTTCTTTGAAACCTTTCCATGAGCTGTTCAAAAGGATTTTTCTGCAGGGCCTACCTTCTATCATCTTACTTTTCCTTCTGCTAGAATTTCAACAGTTAACTCCCTCAGACACTTAACAGAGTTGAGAGCAGGTCAAAGTTGAGAGTTTTGTTTTTCTCACTTGATTCTTAAAATTGTATAGATATTCTGTACACTGTTGATGTGTTCAGTGCCCTCTCTTCATTTCAGGAAGGATGTAGCATTCAACTGAATTACACTCTCACAGGAGAATCTATGTTTGAATAGACTAAAATCAACTAAGGTGTAGTTCTTGTTTAAAAACCTCTTTGTTTTCTCCCCTTCCCATTTTATTCCTATTGCAATTGTACAATTACCCATACAAAATAATTTTAAAAGTCTTTTAATTGTGAACTTGTAGTAAATGAATTGCCAGCAGACAAGCACAGAAAGCTTCAAGTTAAAATAAATTTCCATTTAACTTCTAACAAGGTAGGACAGAACACACATTTCTGTGCAACAAGGTCAAACGTGAACAATCTTTCCAGCCTTTCTTCTCCCCTCCTCCAGCTTCCTAATTTATCTGCACACAGGCAAGAAGGTCCAGTTACCATTTGGAAGCTGGCACTTTGGTAACAGGAGCATGAAACTGAATTCCTCTTGGGCCCTGGGGTATAACTGTCTTCATCTTAAAATAATGTAAGGACTTTATTCACACTTCTGCATCAATATGCTGTCATAGAAAGGGGAGAATGTAGGAAGAGAAGGGGGAGTAGAATTGGTAGAGCTGGCCTAGAGGATGGCAGGATGCACAGTAGTTTTGTTGCCCAGAGGTAGAGGTAGCTGAGCATTTCTGCCACTCTTAGAAAAGCCTGGCTTATTTTAGATAAGAAGTTGTAGAAGGTCTCTCTAGGGTAGAATGTCTTACAGCCACACTTCTTACTTTTTTTTTTTCTGCAGGAATAAAGGGGAACCATAACTCTTTTTCTTGAAAGACAAATAAGAAAACTAAAATCTTGATTCCTCTTAACTCTATGTTATGTATAGAACATGTCTTCTGTACATAAATAGTGACACAGCAGAATTCTAGTTCTCAGAACTTCTGAGAGAAATAACAGCAAGAACACCCAAAGTGTGAGGCAACACATGACTATCACCCCTGTGATGTCAGAAGACTGGTCTGGTTTTGTTTTGATTGAGATACTGTGGTTGCATAAGATGGAAGAAATATATAAAAATATTAGATGCATATATATGAAATGAGTTACTGATGCATTAAATGTGTCATAAATATATTCAGTCCAACTTCCAAATTTAGACTGCTTTCAGGAAGAGTGAAGTGGTACAGTTAGCTGTGCTTTTTAAGCACAAAATGGACAAGTGCTGCTACAAGTGCCAACGTTACTGTCCTGTATTTGAGGTGTTACCAGAATGCCTAGTCATGTTTAACACATTAAGAATTCATCTAAGAAACCTACTGAGTTAGGAAGAAGCCTTTTTGGGGTCTGTGGAAATGATATTGTAGGCAGCAGTCCTGTACACAAGTGAGTGCTTGCAGGCTGTGGCGTGGTTTGGCCAGTGCCAGTCAGGGTGGGGAAGGCAGGGGTGTCCCAGTGTGCCCCATTTCAGCTTCAGTGCAGCCCAGAGCAGTCTCAGAATGCCCTGGCCCTTACCTGGGACTCAGTGCATCTGACTGTTGCAGGAGCTAGTTAAGCTAAAGGTGGTTTGTGCCACTGGAACAGGACAAAGCAGACTTCATGTAGGTCATCACGTGAATCACTGTACTCACTATGGTCAGGGGCCATGAAAGGCAAAGGAAGGAATGCAGAATTTCTCACTGCAAGAGCAGCTTTGATTTATTCATCCAGTTTATCTGTTTCATGTCTGATATGGTGATAAATTTGTGATCTTTTCTGCATATTGTTACATGAAACTGTTCTGCAAAACAGTGCTCTGTGCTGCTGGCCTGGAAGGCAAGACCTATACCTTTTTTGCTCATAAGCTGGTTTCATTTGTGTGGTAGTTTATTTTTGTGTTTTTTGGTTTGAAGTCTGTTTTTCTCAGTGTTTCTTTTGGTCTTTTTTTTAAGATCATGAAGAACTCTGTGGCACCAGTTATGGATCTTTTTGTCTAAATGGAGGGATTTGTTATATGATTCCTGCTGTATCCAGTCCATTCTGCAGGTCAGTGAAACTGAAGTTTGTGTGTCTAAGTATTGGACAGTAGCTGTCTAAAGACTATTTCTCCATTTTCCTTCTTTAAGAAATCACTTCTAAAGCATTATCTAAAAGAAAATACCAATTACCTATTAGTTACCTAGTTTACAGAGACATGGCAATATGAGAAAAATAAATGTGTATACTTGGTGTATACTTGCTTGGCAGATGGAACAGTATTCAGTTATGTGTGCATTCAGGATTATATCTATAATTAGAGCCATATTTCCTTGTTACGATACAGAAAGAACAAAATACCCTTTGCCTTATGGAATATAGACTGTGGGAAAGGCATTCAGAAAGGCAAAGTGCAGTTTTGCTTACAAAGCAATTATGTTGCAAAAACTTTTGTAATATAAAATGGCCTGACCTGAACAAAATGCAGAGACACAAAAAATAATATAATCTTTTAAGAGGGAAACAAGAATGTAATTCAAGACTTACTGTCTTCTTCAAATCATGCTGAAATACTCAAAGAGCAGCTTCACAGTGACAGCCAAAGACTACTTGGTAAAGAAACATCAAGGCAGCAAATACTTCTTACACCACTCCACAACAGAACCATTCTTCCTTCTGAAGCCCATGTAGCAAACTGGAAAGAAGCACTTCCTGGGTTTGCATGTGGATGCATTTCCTGCATAAATACTGCCCTATCTTTTTATTCTCTGGTTGAACAAGACATAAGATGCTAAATAAAACTGTCACTTTTCACAGTCCTGCGTTTACTAATTCTGAGTTATCATTCATGAGAATAAATTATGGTTGATTTAATGGGTTTGCTTCACAAAAAAATAGGCATTCAGACAAATATTAGATACACTTAAGGATATTATCTTTTTTCTTCTGTGGCAACTTCTGTTCCCTCCTCTGTCTTGAGCTATAACTAATGATAACTGGATAAAACAGTTGAGGAAGGAAACAACATCTTTTCTCAGATGCCTAATTAAAATATTACTATCTTTTATTTGGGACAGTTCAATCTAAATACTTAAACTCAGGCACGTAAACTCATTTAGTAAGACAGGGAGAAAAGAGGCAATTTTGTGGTAAATGCTCATTGAAAAATATACACAGCAGATCACTGTCATTGTTCAGTGTCACAGTGAATCAGATCCAGAAGTGAGATTAAAGCTCTGAAGTGCTGTATGGTGATTTATTCTATGTGCTAAACCTTGCAAGCTTATGCAATATAAAATTAATACTACACAAAAAAAGTAAAACATTTTGAAATACATGCTGGTTTTTTTTTTTTCTAGAAGGAATCCTGTATTATTGTACATAAATGAAAAATGAATGGTTAAACTAAAGAACAGCAGTTATACAATTTCAAAGCACCCTCTCAACTACTGCTGGACTGTGTAACAAGAAATACGTATTCAGTGCAATAACTGTAAATATGAAGTAACAAATACTCAGAAAAATTCATTCTTCAGGAGCACAAACTAGTTAGCATAGATAATTTCCACCTTAACATCTCCAAATGAAGTGATTTTCAATTCAGATGCTATAGGATTTTATAATCTGCTGAAGCAGAAAAGTAACATCTTAAGAGCATTTTTGTTATACTCAGGCAATCTTATTGCATTTAAATTATCAACTATTTTTTTCTGTATCTAATGGTTGATTATGAAGTTAGATGGGCTTAAATAGCAGCATTCTATTTAAGCACATCCTCATTCTAAGCATGTTCCTTAATCAGTCAGAGAAGGCTAATTATAGATGAGAAAGGTTTTGTTTACACACAGATATCTTAGTAATCAGCAGTGATGTGAATAGAAACAACAGAAAAAATGCATCACTATTCAGCAGAATTCAGAAAATATTTGGTGCTTTGGAACTTCATGACTGGCATCATCACACAGTTGCGCAGTTTCTTTGATGAAGGTTTCTGCCAAATCCCACCCAAAGCTCCCCCCCCATGCTCTCAAATGATCATGTCCTACTGAAAGAAAACTCAAAGCATTTTTAGAGTCAAGGGCTGAATGATTGTTAATTATAAGGAGGAGATGGAGAAAGAACAGACTAACAAACTGTAAAAATCCCTTAAAACACATTTGCCTTGACATGGTACTTGGTCACACAAAAGTGTTGTGCTCAGCAGAGTTAGTCCAGATTACCCTCTACAACATCACTGGAAGTAATTTCACCCTGTGACTAAGAAAGATGCATCATTCTTTAGAAATATGTGTTTTGTAGCATGCTAAAAATGAAGAGCTACTGTTTATCTTTGGAATTTCAGGGTTTTTTTTATTAATCAGAAATAGCTATATACAAGGCAGAAATTTAGTATCTGCTGAACATTAATTGACCCCCCCTCCACGTGCAACAGTAGCAGATTTTAAACACAGCTGATATGTTAAAACATGAGGTTTTCCAGCTGCCATCTTGCCTCACTGCTCTCCCAACAAGGAGTTTGTGTTCTCAGCAGTAAAAGGCACACCTGCCACCACAAACCAGATGAGCTTCAAACCCAGGAACACTCAAATGAACTCAATAAACAGGCAGCAGGGCAGAGGAGGATGGAAAAGCAGCTGCCTCAGGTGCATCATAAAACACAAGGTGGAAAGCTGTTTGCCTCAGCACCTGAAGCACAGCTGTCCCATAAACGCTAATTAATGCACTGCAGAACTAAGTGAAGATTTTGGTTTCTGACGGGAAGCTCTGGTACTCTCATTTTTTTCTTACACTTGGCAGATTTCTGAGAACATTCTTTCTGTATGTCAAGTAAAATACAGATGGTATGAGACAACACACACAGAGCTCTGCTTCAGAGGGCAGTACACACAGAAATTAACAGTGAATGCTCTCATTTTGGGACAGGGATCCTACTCTGCCAAGGGCTAAGTACTGCAAGAGACACAGGCAAATCTCTTCCCTGAAATACCTGTGTATCTTCAAGGATATCTCTTCCTTTTTCCCTTTTTTTGCTTCCATCCTAATGGAATCTCTCCTTCACCTTTCCTATGGTAACCCAGTGAATCCCATGCAAATTCCTTCTCCCACTTTCTGTGTCCTCCCTCCTTGCCTGGCTCTCTGCCATGGGCCCTTCATTCCCCATTTCAGACATCCCCACAAAGTCATACACTTGCTGTGCTTTCAGCCTTCAGAATATGCACCCTACAAGTTGCCAGGGAAGGGCTTCCCAGTCATCTGGGCTTTTCTTCCTTCTCTGCCTCCAAAAATGCACTTTAATGTACCTCAGGCTCTTTTGAAAACAAACTGTCCAATTAGTATTTTTCAGTTCTGCTTTTGGCTTTTTTGAAAGGTAGTAACAAAAATTAGAATACACACCAAAAGTATAGCTAAAAAGAGTCAGTAATTAGGATTTCTTTTTAATGGGACATAAAATATAAAGTGCAACACTCTCTTATGTGTTTGAAAACTATTAGCAATCCAAACTAATATCACTGCCAGATAGGTAAGCCTTCCCATATAAACACGTAGCTAAGGGAGGGGAGAATAAGCCATTCTTTTAGAGAAAAATAACCCACTCTTTCAACTTCTCTCCAGTAGGAGCATTTTATTTTATTTTATTTTATTTTATTTTATTTTCTGTGTATAGAGAGTAACAGTGTTGAAACTTCTCTAAATGCAAAACTTTTTAAAAGGTTGCTTGGTTAAATAATTATCTTTGCCATTGTTTATTCACTTTGGCTCTAAATTCTTTTTCATACTTACTAGATGTTCTTAGACTGTATGTATTAGGACAACTTTTAGGACTCTGCTACAGACTGAAGATTATGTTGATTTTGAAGTTATCAGCCATGTAATCTGAACTGCATTGATAAGCAGATAATTTCTCATCTTTTTCTGCTCAGAGCTTTGTATTTACATGGAAATAGTTTTTTACCAAGAAGTATTCAAAATTTTCCTGACTGAAGGAAGTCTAAATGAAAAGTTAACACCCTGATAGTATAATGCAAAGCAGTGACAATCTGTGTGCATATTTGACTCAAATTCTACTTCCTACTTTTACAGTCTGTCAGATACTTCCTTATGATGCCTGCCTTAGAGTCTGGCAAAGAAAGAAACTTCACCTTCTTACTAAATCCCAGTGCCATAGGATCATTTGCACTGTCCAACAAACAGCATCTGAAATGAACAGTAATGCCTGTGTTGCTGCAAGGCTGTTATGTTTTATTTACTGATCAGATTGTAAAGGATCAGTGTAATTGCAGACCTGCTGGTCATCTCCTGACATCTTATCCAATGCAGTGTATTTTCTTCCTCCTTGCATTGATGCTGATGTGATTAATACCATGTGTGGCAAGATTTCTTTCCATATGCTGGTGTTTTGTCTGGAGCTCCTCTAGGACATTTGTATACAACAGTTAAGGCTGGCTCATCTCATCTGACAAGAGGGGTGTGTGTGTGTGCACGTGTGTGTGCACTTGTGTGCAGCCATTCAGGAGAGCAGAAATCTGGATGCCAGCTGAAAGTGGGAAGTTTTAGTCACAGATTTCCCTCAAACACTGAAGTCTGCTGTCTTTCAACTCTGAATTAGAATTTCAATTTTCTTAGAGGGGGAAAGACCTTTTTTCCATTTTAAAAATCAGCTCTGGAATGCTGCACAGCAGGGCCGTTCAAAGGCAGCACTTGCATGTGCAGCAACAGCAACACCTGGCCAGGGAACACAAACCCAGGGAGTGCAACTCCTCCTTACTGCAGCCTGCAGCAGCTCCTCTGGGTTTGCCCCAGCTCATTCAAGTGCAGGTGCACCAGTGCCTGCCACGTCAACAGCTGCTCTTAACTTGGGTGCTACTTTAGGCATCCCTTACAAGCAAGATAAAGGGAGTTGCCACTGGCTCTTAAGGCTGTGTACAGCAACACTGAGTGCCTCTGGGAGATGCTGAACAGACACCATCCTCTGGGTTATGTTCACAGCCCACGGGCTTCTTAGAGACTGCCTTTCTGTCTTGCTTGCAGTCACTGCATGTGTAACTCCACCGAAATTATTGGAGCTTTGCTAGTGCAACAGGATAAGCAGGTCTTCTGAGAGAATTCCACTGCTAATTACTGAAGCTTAGTTTCTTTCGCACCTATTTTAGCAAAGGACTTGCAGAAGAAACTTTTCCTGGTTGTCTTAAAGCATCAGTTGCTTCTATCTTTAACATAGGCCTTTACCTATTTGTACAGCAGGAAAGGTGACTTCCTAAAAGCTTGTTCAAACCAATATTTGAACATCTGAATTTCCAGAAATGCCATAACTGTAGTACAGCTTGGTCACGTTAGCTATAATTTTATTATTTAAATGTAACTCAAAAATACCTCATCTTAATTTTCCTGTTTCTATGAAAACCTACATAATTTTTAGGTTATATGACAGCATTTTCTAGATAGCATGGAATCACTTTCAGCAAGTGTGTCAACTGGCCAGCCTAGAGAAAGTGGATTGGTAGTTTTGTAATCCCTAATGCATTGCTCACAGTTAAACAGATACTATCAAACTAGCTGGTCATATTTCTACAATTTGTTTTTGTTACAACCGTGCAGAATTAATAGGTTCAGCATCCAGGATGTCTTAAGTTTGGCATGTGCTTCTTTAGTAGAGGTTTTTTTCTTTTTGCTATAACCTTGGATTCATATCACTATAGTTTTCCCCTTACTATCTTAGGCCTTCAAGCTCTTTTCTCTCTTAAAGACTTGTGTCTACCTTAAGCATCTGGTTCTGTTTTCTGTTTTGTAGGAAGTGCTACGATCTCAGTGACCCTTTTGCTGTGCTGTCAACAGATTCCCAATTCTTTTCCTACAGTCTTTGCAGAACATGAATACAGCTTCCATGCACTGTTCACACCAACCCACTCTCCTGTACCACAACAGTTCAGTAACCCTCACCCTTCACCTGATCCTCTGTGCAGCTCTCTGCAGCCATGACTGTCTTGTCTTCCTCCTGCTATATTCTGCTCTTTAGGCTACTGACTTACTCCCTTTACACTCATTCTTTAGAACTTTTCCATGAGCCTTAATTTGATGCCAAAACCTGTTTTTTTTCTTCCTGTATCATTTTAGCCTTGCATTATTCTCCAGTTTTCATTGCTATTCAAGAATACTCCTATGAATTTCTTATTCCATTTTCTTTCCCTGTTACTCTATTCAGCTCTCCAGAGCATTTCTCTCTCACTTGCTAGAGAACAATGCCCCACTCAAACTATACTTCTATTCTTAAAGTATTCTACAGTATTTCAGAAATAGGCCACTGAAAAGCCACTACACTTAGAATAAATATCTGGAACATTATCTCAAGCAATCAGAGCAGTCTGCCTACCCTTGCTTCTCCCAGCAGTGAAACATCATGACTTTGAAAAGCCTCAGATTGTCCTTAGTAAATGCTGTCTGTTTGATCAGTTGCACAGCTTTAATATATGATGATAATTAGATGTCTTTTTTTAGTGTCTAAATCTTCTACTATATTTCCAAAGACAAAGAATTAAAATAAAAGGGTAGTAACTGCTCGTGCAGTGGTTTAGGCAGCAGTGCTGAAATACTGGTTGATAACCTACAGGAAGTGTAGTGGGAGTCACATCAGGCATCATGTCAGAAAACTCACAGGGATCCTTTGGTCTTAGTTAGATATGCTAAACATTCTTCTTTTTTGGCAGTTCCTCCCCTCTCCACCTTCTTACCCCTCATCTGAAATTATACCTTGCAGCTGCCAATGGCAATTGAGAACTTCAAGTATGTTGCAGAGTTTAGCCCATTTTTCTCAGCTGGAGCCTGAAATCGCTTATGTCACAGATTATTATGACTTCAGTGCCAGAAATAGCAAGAAGGAGCAAGATCTTTAGTAATACAAATAGAGAGAAGCAAATTTACATATATAAAAAATACACACAGAATCTAGATATTGAAAGAAGCGCTTCCCATTTTCTGTAATGAAATCAATTCCTTAAGAAAACTTAGCGGAATAAGTGCAAAATACATAACAAATGAAGATTAGTTTAGCTTCAACCTACCTATTTTTGGCTGATCATTAATTACTAAGCAATTAATTTTATTTTTTTTAAATAAAATATCATACCATTTTAGCATGGTAAAATACCATATTGGTTTTAATCCTTTCTTCAGAAGAAGTTTTCAGAAGCTCAACACATAAAATAAACACAGTAGAGAAGACTTCCACATAGGTCTCTCCACAAGGGGGTTATTCACCAAGCATGTAGCATGTTCTGGCATGAATTATTACAGTGCATAAACGACTTTTGCAGTTTAAGCTGTGCTGTGTCTCAATGAATTCTCATTTACTTGATCTCTTTTGCTGACACTACCATCTTCAACAAAGGAAGCCAGAAAGTTTCCTGAAACAGGGAAAAGAAAGCATGACTGCTGTGTGAGAACCAGTGGGATGACACAGTTAACACTGAAGAAGTAGGCTTGATTAATTAAATCTGTCAGTGATGAGTATATTAATATATAAAAGCAGCATGGATCAGAATGTAAACTTGATGCCCAACATGCCTAATTCCCTTTGTTCCAGAAATACAAGGTGAGAGGAAATTCTGTAAGAAAACTTGCTGTGAAGCAAATATAACCTTTGAATTGAGTCATAACAAGTTCTCTACCCAGAAGAAGCCTTTTGTGCTTTCCATCGTAGCTGACAAGCTGCCGTCTAATCCAAATCCAACTTGGTTTCCCAGGTGTATTGAGAATTACACAGGAGCTCGTTGTGAGGAAGTTTTGCTGCCCAGCATCAAATCCCAAACAAAAGGTGACCTGTTTGCAGCTTTCTTGGCTTCCCTTCTTCTTCTAGGAGTTCTTGTAATTGGAGCATTCTACTTCCTTTGCAGGTAAAAGTGATTCATAAGGCTGAAGCTATTCAATCAAGTAGAAATTTCTTCTGGTAATCATGTACTAATTATTTGAATGTAAAAGTATGTAATGAATTATCCATGAGGTTGTATGGTTATTCAGCATAATGAATGGGGATGTCTCAACTTGTTGCTTGTAATATTGACTTCCTGGCTTGAAGTTTTCTCAGTGTCATTTCTAAGCTCTTCCTTACAGCTGCTTTGTAAAAAATAGCCATAGTACACCCCTATCTGAGATTTTACAGTCCATCCAGAGTTAGTGCTAACATTTTAAAACATTAGTCTACCTGATGTTGTCCAAAGACTGAGAAGTAGAGGAAGATTAACAAAGTGCTTAGGGATCAGAAGCTGTTCCAGCTGAACTGGTAACTGAAGCAGCTGGTGACATTAGCTCCTAATTCTTCTACCAATCCCAGTCTAAAATGGAAAACTAAGGAAAGAATGAAATTGAAGAATTCTTCCAGATAGATGTTTACTAGCATTTAGGACAACTCAGAGAGCTCACTATTTTGTCCAGGATGATCTGGGTTTGAGTAGAAGGCAAATGTCAGTGCCAGACAGCAAGTGCTGCAGGGTTGGTTTTAGTAGCATTTTAGACATATTAGGACTTGGAATAAAAACACATAAAGATTTACTGGGATTGAGGCAACTGTTTGATGCTGTACATATATCACTACACTTATACCAAACCAAACAAACTTATCATCTTCACTTGCAATGCTCTCTTTATTTTGCACCTGTGCAATGCACCTGTGTCCCTTCTTTATTTTTAGAGTACAGCACTTTTTGTAAGAACTCATTTTGCCATATACCAATAATATGTGTTGATGCATCTGTATGTCTCTATAAAGCAACTTATAGCCCCTGTAATTCTTTACCAACACAGACTTGCAGAATCTTCTCTTTCCTCCTATACTGCATTTCTCCTTGGTTATGATAACTAAGGGTTGTTGCAATTCTGTTCTTTGTGCTCCCATGGTCACATTGCCAAATCAACTTTTCTGACCTGTGCCTTTCAATGAGCCACCTTTGGAATAGCTGGTCTAGTTTTACCTCAGCTGCTGTCATGGAAACCCACTGAATGCCAGCTTCTCCCACAGCTGAATGTATTTAGAAGAGATGGAGAGCATTTGATAAAACAGTTGATATAAAACAAATCTCTTGTTTTAAAGGATACCCCCCATATTAGCAATGTTAATTAAATTAATTTTGCTTAAACATGGAATGTCACAGTGGTTGCTAAAAAACATTTGCAAATTACTATAAACTTATTAGAACAAAATACAGCTTAAACTAACTTAAGAAAAATTCATTGAAGTCTCACAGAGATACAGACAGTATTTCTTTAGAAGTAAAACTATCTCTGGGAAAAGGAAAAAAAAAAGTCTTCAGAGAGTAATGTGTTAAAAGATCCCTTTTCTTTCACATACAGTGAAATTAGGGGAAAGCTGGAGACAATCTATTGAGTTTTGTGGTCTAAGTACAGAAGCTTAGAGTGATAGCAATGACAGGTCTGTGAAAAATCTTTTATTAGACAGTTAGAAAAACTTTATTAGAAAAATAAAAAGGGCAACAACTCAGTTACAACATAGTTGTCCTTGAACCCTATCTTACACACCAGACTAATTTGGGAAATCTCATAAAGCCATTATGAACTTCTTTAGTACAGATGAAAGAACCTAACTGGCTAAAATTGTCTTACCTTTACACTTCAGAGGCTGATGTAGGATGGTCATCTGCAAGAGAACTCATCTATAAATGAAACACTTTACATCTCTAAGTCCTTATCTCTTGGCTGAAGTGACCAACACCTGAAGAGTCTCAAGTGGATACTTTAATCCACTCTCATCTTTTCAGCTGAGTGAATGAGCATGATTGCTAAGAGCTGTCATTAATCCCAACTTTTGTCTCAAACTTCATCTATCACCTATGTCTTAGAAGAGGGTGGAGCTAGGGCTTGTAAGGGTTAGCTGAGAGTTTGCATCATCTTTGACTTGGCCTCCTGACAGGATATGTTAAGTTTAAAATGTTAAGAGACATACTGTGCTAAAGTTTCCACCACTCCACTTTGTTAACAAAGACGTTTGATCCACAAGCAGAGAGCAGAAAGCCTTTTTCCTGATACTGTGTTAGTGAGCATTTCCATGGCTCGCTCAGCAGAGGGTTCTGGTGGGGTTTTACTATAAACAGTAATGTAATCTGGAGAGGTGCAGAAGAGGAGAAACTAATTGAAGTTCAGGACAAGGAAACCAAATTCCTAAAATTATACATCAAATCATTTGGAATATAGAACTCAGTGCTTTATTTTCTTGGCCGTATCATCGTGCCTCCCTCCTTTCCAAGTTTTCTTTCTCTCAGAGTATTTGGGGCAGATTTGAGGACCAAGCATGTACAAGTGCATTTCCTGCTCCCTAGAAACAAATCCATTCTACATACAAGGGTGGAGGTTTCATTGCTCTGCTTATAAAACCAAATCACAACTTACAGTGAAAGTAATCCATAAAAGTGTAGGGCTGCACATGCAAGCTCTGGGTGAACAGTGGGAAATAATTCTCCTTTTACATTTAACTGAGTCATCACATTTTTATCAGCTGATGATTTATTTTTTCCAGTCTGCAGAGCGCATGGAGGCAGGGCAAACACAGATCTAGCCATTCTCCATCTTGAAACAACCCCCCACCCTCTGATAAAGCCTGTCCTTCTGACAGGGGCAAAACAGAGAAGTGTACAAAAATCTGTGCTGTTACACTGCCACTGAGGAACAAATGGCATATTCTGCTTCCAGCAATTCACCTATCAGACCAGGTCCATCTGGTCTTCTTCCTCCAGAAACATATTTTGCCAGGGTTACTCGAAGAAGAATAAGAAAGGTGATGAGAAGAGATGCCACATGAGCCAGCTTTTCTTTAAAAGCAATAGATAAGCCTAAATGCCACACATATAGCTCAGAGAAATAGAGCAAACCCTAGGGAAAACCAAAATAAATCTGCAGTTAATATCTATATTTCACTGTAAGTGCATGCTGAAATGCCAAATGACCTGTAAAGTAAGTGTAATATTGATGAACAAGAACTCAGCCAGCCAAAACAACAGGGTCTAGGAATAAAGCCATTTAAGCTGTCCAAGACAACAGACTTTGTGGAGGAGTTACATCACCACAGGACACAAACTGGACAGAACAGAGAATAGCTCATGACTCTTCTCAAGAGAGCAGATGTCTGATTACTATTAAAAGAAAAGGAACTAGACAGCAAATGATCAGCTTCATTTACAAGACTTGCTTCTCTTCAACAAAGTGTGGAAAATTTCACATCATTTCCAAACACTAAGAGAATTGATAAATAATTCTGTGCTATTTACTCATTTTTTTAAATAAAGACCTAAGAAATCAGACAAACAGGAACATTACCTTCAGGAGAGAAGCCATGTAGTTCCAAATGCTGTGCTGCCCTCTGATCTCTGTTCTTCTCCCTCAAACACATGCTTCTCAAAAGCAATGAGTATTAATTAGAACGTAATTGGAGAAGATCTATGTCATTTTTTCCAATGGAAAAATCATTCTATTAATTTGTCTCTTCCCTGGTAACATTTTTCACTCTGTGTGCATTTTTCTCTCTCTCTCTCTTGTCTCCTTTTTGGTTTTTATGGTCAGGAAAGTTGCCATTCCAAGGACAAGTTCTTCAGAGTGTGGTGCCAACCTAGTTGAAGCTACAAGCAGCAATGGCTGCAACAGTGAGTACAGTTTAAAATTAAATGACCAGACTCCACAAGAGAAGTGGAGGAGGAAGTTTTTGTTATTTGAAGTCACGTGTTTTATTTTTCAGAAATAACTACAGCCTAAAGCATTAGAGTGGAAGAATGGTGGAGAAACAACATGCAGAGCAACCCTAAGAATCTAAATTGTAGAGGGTGACATGGTAAGCAAGATGAGACAAGAAAGTTGATGGAAACAGGAGGCTGACATGTTGGGGAAGACTACATCTAAGACTTCAACAGTTGCACTTAATGGAGTTTCTATGTATTTTTAAAACTGTCAATTATACAGAAATCACTATAATTTATGTTTGAATTCTGTGAGATTTTTTTATGGTTTTCAATAATGCACAGCTAGATGCATGAGATAATTTTGGGTTTTACTACATGGAAAATAAATAAAATATGTTATTTTTTTCACTGCACAGAGAATATGAGATATCACAGGATTTTAGCATGAGGTGATACTATGAATTTTTGATAGGGGTTCTCATTTTTCATGAGGAGCTGAAGCCTGTCTTGATTCAATAGTTTCAAAATTGATATTTGTGATACATGTCCAGAATTTGGCTTGTTTCAGATGCCAATATCAGATGTAGGGGAAAACCCCCTACCTTTCTCCCAGCTAATACTTACTTTTGGTTGTTTTTTTTTTTTTTAATTGGAACAAACATCAGCGTGAGATACCATTGGTAGTTTATTGCCCAGGTTCCTGACACACTATTTTAATTAAAATTAAAGGGAAATATTAAGAAAATAGATTGATAACGGTTAAAAAAGTTTTTTAGGCAGAGTTTGGTGTACATTCCTAATAGTAAGCAAGACATCTCCCTTGATGGTTTTAAATTTTGTCTGGCTTTCTTCTGAAAATCTCACTACTGAAGGAAATTCAAACCTTACCTTGAATGTTCCAGTTGATATTTCAGATAGCAGAAATCAGGAATTTTGTTCGTCAGGTCAATTTCTGACACTGAATATTATCGAGACAGGTATCTTGGTTGAAAAAAATGCTGCCCTCTCCAAAGATTTATTTCTTTCATTCACATAAGCATCTGTTGATCACACTAATATATTATATACCACACTTTGGTCCCTTCCAGGATTCTCTTACTCAGACAAAAAGAGGCCATCTGCCATGGTCCATGTCTTTTATTTTTGCCTTCACAACACAAAGAGAATGTCTGGTTAGTCAGAGGCATAGAAATTGTGAACTGAACAGGTTGTTTTCAACTTATTTCTAGCACTGGAGGCAGAAACCAGCAAAAAATCAGATATGTTTCCATAATGGCACATTACCAAGCAGGTGATTATATGGGATTTATAAGGTTGTATTGAAGGGAAGATTAGCTGAGAAAATTCATTAGTTAAAAGGAGAGAAAATTCAGAACAGAGATTTCTTTTGTCCAAAAGAAACAGTCTGAAGATGTATAAAAACATAGGCGCTGAATAAGCTCCTGTTTCTAGGATGTCTACTACATGCTCTGGTGTCAGAAAAAGCAGTGTGTGCTTTGTATCAATGTAGACAAAAGCACAGTGGGAGGGGGCAGAAAAGGCACGTGGGTACAGTGCATAAGGTGAGAAGTCAAAGAGAAATCACCTTACAATGGTTACTAGAACACAAACCAGAATGTTTCATTACCTCCTGAAAACTCCTGGCAGAGAGGTCAGAGTCCAAGTTAGAGCTCAGCATGTGAAAGGAGAATCTGAGGACACCAAATCAGGTAGAGGACCTGATCCAGACACTAAGTTATATAAAGCACTAGAAGATCACTTTTTCCCCATATTAGCCAATCATACATGTTATTTTCTGGACTTCAAATCTTTAGCAGATAAGCTGAAGGAAGCTGATAGTATTGTTTTAAAGGCTAGGAAAGATAGAAGTTATTTTTGGTCACAAAGGGACAGGCCACTGTTGTACAGAGTTCAAGAGATGTGCAGCAGTACTGACAGCTACACAGAATCAGCATTACCTGAAGTTTCTTACTTTGCCCAGCCTCAGTGAAAATGAATCAGAGATGACACCTGGTAGATCAGTTTGCTGTGTTATTGATCATGAGACAATCAGGCTCACAGCTTGGTACACTGTCTCCACTGAAGAAGGAAAAGGCTTGTGGTCATTTCAGTGGCAATTCAGGAAGGAGATACTAATAGAAGATATAAGAAATAAATGGACTGAAGTTATTCTGTATAAGCTCTTAGAATCCTCTCAGCTTTCTAGACAGACATGGAATAATCATTGTTACCGAGCTTATTTGCATTATTTGGGAAACAATCTGTATAAAAAGTGGGGCTGAATAAACTGACTCCCTGTTTAAATGCGAACAAGCTGATTTCTGAATCACTGTTACCTGTGAAGGAAATGCTCTTAGCGATTCAGACCGCCTCAAACCCATTGCATCTGAGAACATTTCAGCTTCTAAAATTAATTCAGTTCACAAACTTTGTGACTATGACGTTCAAATCAAAATGGCATCAGGCTACAAATTCATTTTAAGGTGGTCAAATGTCACAGAAAGTACAGTGTAGCCAACATTATATATAATTTAATAAAATAGTGCAACACTCGTTAGCAATGATTGCTTACAAAATTAATGAAGCAGTCCTGTGAGCAATTAAGGAAACTCTAGATTCAATGGATCACATCTCATGGTTGGAGTCACTGGAGTCTTAAAAATCATTACATGTTTATGAAAGGGTGAGTAATAAGGGCTCTCTCTGGTCTCTTTGACTCCCTTTTTCATGAAACAGAAGATCTCATATCTTTGAAATTACCTCTCCACCAGCTGAAAGGTTATGTAGGGAAGAAACTGGAAAACACCAATTTCCTGAGCAACTCCATTACTGTGATTAGACAACAATCTATTAGAGTGTTATGGCAAAAATTCTTTTATGCCTGGGGATCATGTTATCCTGCCAGAACCTTGTAGTAAAAGTCTCTTCATAATGTATCGCAAAAACCTTTTGATCATTTGCAGAACTGACAGCCATTAGCAGGAAATCTCTTTATAGACCTATAAATAAGAGGTTGCTTATACGTTACTCAATCTAGAATTGTTTTTCACACTGGAGCAAAGTACAGTTAAATTAACAGTTAAAGAGAGTCAAATGGCTTTTCAAAGAAAATAAGGATTTCTCTGTGCTGCATAGTCTTTTGAGCAGAAAAACCAACAGAAGTCCATTTGTAGCACTCCCCATTTTAAAGGTAAGTTCAATGTTGTGCAACTCCTTCAAAATTTACTGCACTAAAAGAAAACATTTTCCTTCTGGCTCTGAATTTTTGAAGAAATTTGAAATTGGAAAGCCAAGAAGAAATGTGGGATAGAACTTCTCACAGCAGAAATGGTCATTATTCTAAATTATCTGCTTATGCTTATCCAAGTCTGTTCTGGCTCCCCTGGCAACTGCAGCCTGTTCAACATAATCTGTATGTAAGGCAAGAGATCCATTTCATGCAATGAAATACAAACCCTGTGAAATACCAATAGTCAGGCTGCTGCTCAGTTCCATCTTTGACACTGATCCTCCACTAAACCTTTCAGCAGGAACCATTTCTAGAGCTGCAGAACCTGAAATAACAAGAAGATACTGCTGGTTTCGGTCCCCAAATAGAAGCCACAACCAATTTTTAACACTTTTTAATGCACTTCTATGTCAGTTTCTGTACCATTTAAAAACTTTTTCTAGTGCACATTAAAAGAGACTGTTTCCAAATTTTCCTCTCAATGCAAGTAATACTTCATCTAAACTTCTGTGCAGGCAAACAATGGGCTGTAAAAATCTGGGTGAGCTTCCACTGGTGGCATTTTTTAAGAGGACTGGATCACTTGAATCTATGTTGTACATTCTCCATCACAGAGTTTGCTGCCATTCAGATATTTTCACCAGTTCTGAAGATTCCACTTCTGAAGGAGTTGCTCTTTTGAGAGGATTATTGTTTGCCATCACCGTTGCCATATTGACAACTAAGATGCATTTAATTCAAAAAAAGTTGTTTCTAACTCTCATAGCTGTGAAAATTTATCATGGAAAGGTGACATGACCTGCCACTGACTCAGTGATATGAATCTCTGAAACATTTATTTTCAGAATTTTGTGCTGCCTGCTCAGGGAAGATATACCTGTGAGATGTAATGATGACAATTTATATATTGTATTTCAAAAGCATTTAGAAGCACAAATCCCAATGATTTGGGAATAAATTTTCTTCACGTAAATTATCAAAGCACTTGGAAAAAAAAATCTAATTAGCTGTTTCTCTGCTGATAATTCTAATATAAGTATCTAGGTGATACCACTTCCAAATCCAAACCTCTCTCAGGCGTTTCCTTTGAGTTTCCAGTTTCTCACTGTAGCTGTATGTTCTCTTTAGACTAATACCCCACACTGTCCTGAAGTGCTGGTAGGCATGGAATAATCAATTAAAAGGCCCTACAATGTTTAAACTTCTATTTGTTTGACCTAAACCAGTAGAACAGGAGCAATGCACACCAGCAGAAGTAAGCTTGGTTTACCTCGCTGCACACCTTGGAGCCTGCAGTTCAGAACCCCCTCGAGTTCTGAGTCCTGCTGAAACAGCTGAAACAGCCTCTCCTGAAGCTGGCTGAGAAATGGGCTTAGCAACAGGAAAAACTGCAATGATAATTAGACTCAAACAACTGTGTTACCTGCATTTGTCTGCAGAACATACAACTGCTGTAGTAAGATTAAATGGATTTTAGAGATACACCAGAGATTCATAAAATAAAACTTTGCCCCCACGAAATCATGAAAAATAATCAGAAAGTGGAGGAAATAATTACTTTCTTAATGTTTGCAGAGTGCTCAGAGACTATAAGAGATCCTATAAAAGACCACTTAACTGTACACTTAAGATCTTTGTAAATTCTAACTATGCAAACTTCTATACTTCAGATGTTGTTTTTCTGTATCATTCTGTTGAGTAAAACAGAAGCAGATATCTGAATGACAAATGCTTTTTGCTTGTTCTCTCACAGGGCCAAACACCAGAAAACTTAATTCCAATTTCTGATATGAAAGCTAAGAACCCCCGCCAGTTACTTCTAGTAGAGAGAAGTTCTCAATTTTTAGAAAGAAAAATAGAAACTAAGAGGGGGTAATGACAATTAGTAAGTTTTGAGGTAAATTTTTAACTAAAAATTAATTCAGAATCATATGTAACTATTTGTTCTTAAAAGTTTTGCTCCTCTTTATCAATTTATTCTCACTTTACTATGACTGCATGTTACAGAAACATCCTATTGACGAGATCTCTGGATAGTAACTTTAAAATAAAAGTGATAGCAGTAATAGCTTTATGTTTGGTAGTTGCTACTTTAGTTGTATGAGTACAAGGTTATACATCACACTGCTTGCCTATTATTTTTTGTGGTTTTGAAATCTACAGATCAATTAATTGAATGATGCATGAAGAACAAATGTGCAGCGAAGCATTCATATTCAAAACATTGGAAAAAACAATGTCTTTACCTTTTGTAAGCAAAACCATCACTCCTCCCTGCAGGTATTGTGACTTTGCAAGTTTTACTTTTTTTGTAACAAAACCAAAATCCAGTTGTGGTCACTTAAGGACTCTCTTCTCTTGCTGGAAACACATTACTGTCAGCACTGTAACTGCAGACAAACCTTTAGATATCTTTTGAGTAATCCTGCTATTTACATTTGCCTTAATTGCTGAATGCTCATTTAAGTAACTTTAACCACTTTAAAACCTCATGCTTGCTTCTTTTGAGTAGCAGAAGTATAAATTTTGGCACTGCAAGACTTTCTATCAATTATCTCTGCCTTTTGGTACACACACCTTGTAAGTAAATATATTTGGGGTTCTCTCAGGAGTTGTTGTGGTTGAAGAGCAAATAACAGCATGGAGGCAAAATGAATTTGGATAGCAAAACACTTTAATGACAGATGTTGCAATTTTATCACTTATACCATTTCCCATGGTGTCACATGGATGTGGTCTGGGACAGACATTCTAGTAGTTCCAGCTATGTGCATGGTTCTAGGGTATTCATCTCCACACTTCTTGATGCTGGAGAGAAGGATTCCTGGATTCTGATGCAGACCCCCCCACCCTCCACCCCCTTTTCTGTACTGTGTTTACCTCTGAAGGTTCCTCAGCTACAGGACCTGCTGACTGTCCCCTGCAGACCACCCTGGTGGTTCTGGTTTAGCTGTGCCATCATCTGAGCTCACCATCAACTTCTCTGACCTTCTGGCCAAGTCTTTATTGAGGACACATGGTTGATCACTCTTCAACTGCTCCAACACAGCAACCAGTTAACCTTCCTAGGCTGCTCAGCACGGCTGACAGCACCAGGAATCCTATCTGCATTACAGAAATGAAACATTTCCTTTCTGTCCTGTTAAACATGAAGTTTATGCAGATGCAAAGGGCCAAATGTGACATTCTGGTTATGCTAAAATAACACACATCACCTCCCACCAACGGGCTTCTCTGAAAATTCAACTGTACTCCACTTCCAGATACCTTTCCCTCTAAATGAAATAACTAAATGTTGTCCAAGTCACACTCACACTTACTAATCTTCCATCCACAAATTGCCACTGGGAGTTCACAGCTCATACTATCTTCTAATTAAAAAAAAAAACCCCATCATCAATACAGCCATGGGGAAGTGCTGTCTGTCTGTGCTCAACTGACAACAGTTAGTGCTCACATACACCCCTACTAAAGCTCGCTAGGCCGAGTCCAGGAAAAGTTTTAACTAGACATGGACATAAAGTTGCTAACTGAAGTCTTCCTTGATACATTTAAAGCAAAACTTGTTACTTTGTTACAACATACAGGTAAGTCTTTTCTTACTACACTGAAAATGGGCCAGCTGCCTAATTTAGCATTTAGAAACCTGGTGATATGGTGCAAAATCCATCTTATTTTCTTGTCATTCTATTACTACATGAAAATAAAAGGGAGGAAATAATTTAAAAAACAGCAAATGTATATTAACTACACTGAGACTATGCTGAATTTACTTACTTGATACTGCATGCCAGCTGCAGCAATCAAAACAGGTGACTGATGTAAAAGCATGGGAAAAACATGCAGAAGCACAAGTCTTACTTAAAGTCTCTATATAAATATAATATAGCCAGATCTTGTGTGTCCCACCATTCCAAATTTTAGAACAAAAAACTTCCTATAGAAACTTAAAGATAGATAGACTTACTTCTAAGTACTCCGGATTTAAAAGATTGTAATCACACTACAGGAGAAGAGGCAACCGCTATATTCTGACCTCACAGTTGAGTAACTGAAATTGAGTTCAAGGTGGTGAGCCCACCTGAACTCTTAGCTGGACAACATCTTTAAATCAGAGCTTTCTCTAAGAATAGAAGGCAAGGTACTTTTACATACTTCTATCTTTATTTAACAAGTACTTTGTTACTTTTCTCTAAAGATTTTAATTGATTTTATCTAGTAAAACTTCAGTTTTGCAAGTAGAACTCTGGGAAAGTTCTGCTTCTCTCTAGAAATAAAATCCAGGAAATGGTAGATTTAATGCATCAGTGCTTTCTCTAGAGTGCTTTATATGCATAAATAGAGCACATCAAAGTACTGTTTCTTTCTACATTTGGGTTTGTGTTTGCCATTGACACTAAGTTGGAAGGAGTTGTCAACGCTCTCAAGGACAGAGGCCCTGCAGAGACATTGACAAAGAGAGCTGGGCAATCACCAACCACATGAAATGTAACAATGCAAGTGCTGGATTCTGCACCTGGGACGGGGCAGCCCTGGCTGTGTGTACGGACTGGGGAGCAGGAGGGCGGAGAGCAGCTGTGGGAAGGGAGCTGAGGTTGATGGTAAGCTGGCTATGAGCCAGCTGTGTCCTGGCACCCAGGAGGGCCAATCATGTTCTGGGGCATCAAGCCCAGCACCGCCAGCCAGGCCAGGGAGGGGATTGTCCTGCTCTGGGGCAGTCTCCAGTACTGTGGGCAGTTTTGGGCACCTCTGTATAAAAAAGACATCAAGTTTAGAGTGGGTCCAGAAGAATGCCATGAGGAAGGGAAGGATCTGGAGGAGAAGCATTATGAGGAGTAGCTGACGACACTTGGTTTGCTCAGCCAGGAGAAGAGGAGACTGAGGGGAGACCTCATTGTGGTCTTCAATATCTCTTCACTCTCACCAGTGCCAGAACTCAAGGAAGTGGCACGAAGCTGAGCCAGAGAGGTTTAGGTTGGATATCAGGAAAAAGTTTATCACCCAGAGTGACTGGACACCGGAAGAGGCTCCCCAGGAAAGTGGTCAGAGCACCAAGCCCTGCCTGAGATCAAGAAGAGTTTGGACAACACTCTCAGGCACTTGGTGGGATTCTTGGGGTGTCCTGTTCAGGGCCAGGAGTTTGACTCAACGATCCTGATGGGTCCCTTCCAATTCAGCATATTCTACTATCTGCAGAAACCATTTTCATTTTGGAAGAAAGAGGCTTTCTTAAAATACAGAATTCCATCAAATATAATTTCCTGCAATTCTGATATGTACAAGGGACTACAAAAAATGCAAGGTCTTCTCACAGATATTACAGTAAATTCTATTGCAACTACAAGACTCAATAACATTACCAAAGTGATGTTTATGTTTTGGAAGGGGCTTTGACTGCACGATGTCCACTCTTCCAGACTTCTCAGCTCTCTGGAATGAAACAAACAGCTCACTGAAGCATTAAACCTTACTTATGCTTGGTTTGCTTTAGTTGAACCAAGGTGAATAAGAGTCATAACTGTAGTATAACCATGAAGCAGGTCATCCTTTATGTCATTACATTCTCTTAACACGAAATTCCCAGTAACTATTCGATCACATCCTATTTCCCCATGTCCAAAAAAGCCAAAGAGGGGTACATTTGGAAAAAACTTCCTAAATGCATCTGCTTCCATATTCCTTTTGGTTTTGTAATGCCGATATCCTCTGCCAACACAGGCGAACATGAAGCCAATGGTGTTGTGCTCGGGGATGTTCGCTGCTTTGAGACGCTGCATGGCCGCTTCTGCTGTCCTCTCATCAGCCACATCCTGGTCTAGCAGGACAGTGGCACTCTGGATCTGGGGACCGCTGAAAGCCAACCCAACCACACCGCAGGCGTCACCAGGCTGGGCGTGGTTACTGAAAGGCAACAGGCACTGAGTTAGAGAACACTGTGGGGGGACCAATCCTCACCGGACCAAACTGCTGCTGCGGCAGACATAGGTTCAAAGCAGCCGACATTGCAGTGATTCTGATACCAATCAAAGTTAAAAAGCAAACCAAAGACTTCATATTTTAGCAATGTTTTTGTGTAGAAACCTTTCACAAAGAAAAACTTCCACATCCATTACTAGGTATTGACCATAAACTTGTTTCACTCATGCCAAACTCAGTAGTTTGTGTATGTCACAGATCTGCAATTCCAACTAACACATCAGTTAAGACAAGCAAAGGCACTGAGGATTTATACATTGAAGCAGGGCAGCAGTCAGTACAGGTTATGGATTCATGTTGCTTTAAACTGGTTGGCCAGGGCACATGGGGTTAAGTAGTTACGTATTTAACCTTTATCTGCAGTGACTTTATTTAAGGTCAGCTCCCTTATCTGGGGCAATGGTGCAGCTGGCAAAATCAGATGCAAGAAAAACGTTGATGTTATTATGGACTCCAGCCCCCAGTGGGACGAGAGGAGCTATGGGCATGGTTGCACCGTGCTCCACAGGACAAAGTGCCACATCCTTCAGCAGCCACTGTGGACCAGGTGAGCTCCTGGGGCACAGCCTTGCTGTGTGTGCAGCTACTGCTCCGTGCTGTGAGCCAGACTGAGGCAGATACACAAACACATGTTCACAACCTGGGCTCCATCACAACAGGCACTCACTCATTCACCTGCACTCCAGTAATAAAATGCTGACTGCAATAAACACACAAAGGTATCTGAAGCTAGAAATCTCCTTTTCATTGGGTTTCTCCTAGTTTCCAGAATCCAAATTGTAACACAGCCATACCAAGCTTCCAGCTTTTCTGGCTACATCACAGTGTAGCAGTTGTGGCATTTTTCTCTTTAAGAAATTGTTATTTTACTACTGGTAAGGACATTTTCAATATTACTAGAAGGCTATGGATCTGCAATGTTTCTCTCATGTTAAATCTTTTTCATAATTTACCTTGAAAAAAATACCTACTTCTCAGAGGTCAGTGATGTAAAGCTCTCCACTTGTCCTCCAGCCAGGATGATACTTTTCTCATTCAATGGATTGACTATTTGATGAAGAAATCGAGTTGCTCCAGTCTTCCAGGAGTTGTAGCCAAACAGAAGAACAACACGGAGATCTGGGTTATTCTTCAGACCTACAAACAAAAGCCAACACTGATCCCCTTATTTTTAAATCCTGAACTCTGAAGTCTAAGCATCCTAGTTTCTCCTCAAATATTACATCACACTTCTCTCCGAACAGCCCCACTTGAAATGTAACTGAAGTAACTGGAACCCGATTCTCGGGATGACTTCTGCTTAGTACTCCAGAGACTGGGAGGAGCAGAGATGCACAGCCACCAGCTGGAGCCCCACAGAGGCTCTCGGAGCCAGTACAGAAGCTGCTGGTTCTACTCAGAACTCCACTGGCACCTCGAGAGCAGCACCTCATAAAAGCCTACATAGAGGAGAGAAAAATTACATACCTGCTTCAGCAAATTTGCCTTCATCAAAGACCCTGTTCTTCACATCTTTAGAAAAATGGAAGGTATGAATTTTCACCCCATCAATTTTGGGAAACAACAAAGCAAACCCAGCTTCGCCCTCTTCAATTTCTTGAGGCTGATTGCTGCTTGAACCCATCGGGGTAACTACAGAGACAAAACCAAGCATCTTGTGTTCAGAGATTCTAATACATTAATTTACACTGACATGGGCAGAAAGGAATTGAACAGCTCAGGTGATATAAAACATGACAATCTACTTCTGTAACAACTTATCTAACCGAAAACTGGTGTGATTTTTTTTTGTTAATGTTTTGGAAAGATGAAACATGTAGGTCCTCCTGGCTATCGATCCCACTGAAGTCAGTTTTGACATGGAGACATGGATATATTTACACATATCTCCCCAGGCACACCAAATATAAAACATTAGGAAAACAAGAACAGTACAATACAAGCCTTCCTGCCAACTTCCGCAGGCACACAGACATACTCAAGTTTTTAAGGTGTCCCATAAGCATGTGATGACAGTATAAAGCAAAACTGATACAAAAATTGGGAGTGTATTATTAAAATACGGTTATGACAACAATCAAACACCTTACTTATAATGTGGGAAGTGAATTTAAGGTGAGAAACTATAAAAAACCAACTTTCTAATGATAAAAGTGAAGCATGAGAAAAAGCCTGCCACAGGAGACCGCAAATTTTCCAGTTACTGCATATGCCTCCTGCTAGACCATTACAATCAGGTATATACCAAGATGCCCTCTACAGTTAGTCACAAGATGACTGAAATGTATACATAAATCCAAGCAACATTCAATAAGTACATTAAGGTGCCAGGGAAAGCTGCCGGCCCAGTTAAATCAACCCTTTTAATTATAACTGCAATACATGCAGTAATAATTGCTCCACGTCACTTAGCAGCGACACTGTGACCTCCTTAAAACTGAAGGCAGTGCTGAACAACACCTTCAAGCTGACTTCTCAAAAACCCACACATTTTGCTCCTACCTACAATCCCTGGCGTAACCAGTCCAAGAACCTGACATCGCTTTGGCAACAACTTTTCAAGTGCGAGAGCCGTTTCTTTACTGTTTCTTTTTCTGGCTGTTAAAATAAGAAGAAACAGAAAAACCCATCAGACAGCAATAAAAGTGTGTTCTGAGCAAATCCCACAGCCGACCCTGTCGTGTTTAACCAATGCTGCCCATCAGTGGCCGCTCTGGTAACAGCACACTGGTCTGCGCTGCTCCCTGAGAGCACAGGGCTGCCGGCAGGCACACGCACACTGTGTCCTCCACAGCAGGGACAGGAACCCCTCATCTGTGACATTAACAAAGATCTGCGAGCTGCTCCGTACCACAAACGCAACACTACGCGGTCACGGTTTCTGCAAAACATTTCCTTTCCACTGAAACCAAAACACAGAGAATTCCCTTTCAGCTGACTACGCTCTACTTACATCCCAGGGTATCTTTAAGTGGAAGTGAGTTAGGTCCAGGCTTTACCTTTCTTTTGCTCGTGACACTCCTCGTGCCCGCTGAAGGTCTCTGCATCAGCGATGTAGAGCACGGTCTGGGGCAGCACGTGCACCTTCTGCAAAGATACAGCGGGAGGAATACATAAGACAGGACAGAGTGGAGGGAAAGTGGGGGCAGAAAACCAGAAGAAACTGCTCTTGCTCCACCGCCGGCCCACACCGGTCCCCTCCCCCTCACCAGGCTCCTGGCAGCCAACAGATAACCCCTCATTAACCTCGGAAATGCCCAGAGGCACTTCTGCCCCCAGGCAGGAAGTGACCCAAACCTCACAGAAGCAGGAACAGCTCAGCAGACTGGCCCATGACTCTGCTCCTTCTTTTAGCACTATCTAAACTCCCTGCACTCATGGCTATCGACGTCTACTGCTCACCAGTGCTGGTGCTAGGAAACAGCGTAGAGGCGCTTCCGGCCCGTCTTGTCCCAGCTGGTTTAACACTGATCTGCTGAGGCCTGTCTACTGCGGGAAGACCCTGACATGAATCTTTGTATAGTGAAGACCCAGCACCAGGTTAATACTGGAAAGAAATCCTGCCAGACAGAGAAGTCTTGCAGTGTTTACTCAGTGTCTCCCCAGCCTGTGAGGGTTAACCTCTTAACAAGATTGCCGCGATGAACAGATGTGCCCTGAACTGCAAATCCTCGGTGTTTTGATCGGTGTATTAACACGCAACACTTGAACTGTCAAAACCTCCTATGCCTCCGAACACGTCCCTTTTGCCGAGCGGCTGGAAGAAGCGCTTTCAGCGTTTAAAAGAAGGCGCCGAGTTCGTGCCCCCCCGGCGCCCCCTCACCTCGAGCTCGCGGGCCAGCGCGCGCACCAGCGCGTGGTTCTCGGCGGGGCCCGGCTCCAGCGCCGACACCCACGCGATTCGCTGCCGCGTCCGCAGCGTCCGCCGGGCGCACTCCCTCCATAGCCGGCACACGCTGCAACACAACACGGACACTGCGCGTCGGCCGCACCGCCCCGCCAAGCGGAGCCGGCCGCCGCCCACCCCGCGGCCCCGGTCCTGGCCCTTACCAAGCGGCCCGCAGCAGCGCCTTGGTGGGCAGGAAGCCGAGGACACGCTCCACCACCTCGGCGAGGTTGGCGAGCACGTAGCTGCCCTTCGCCGCGGCTTCCATGGCCCCGCCGCCTCCCCGGCCCCGCTGCCCCGCGTCACGTGACCCGCGCGCCTACGCGCCTGAGGCAACTTCCGGTCAGCGCGAGGGGGCACGAGCCACTACACTGGCGTCGCCTAGCGGCGGGGAGGACTCGTCCCGCTCTCACCTCCCCCCTTCCCTCGCGCCCCGGGCCCCAGCACGGACACAGCGCTTCGTAAAATGCTTTTTATTCATAAACTTGATGCAAGTTTACAAATTACTGTACATTGCCAAGGAACTCTGCCAGAAGAAATGGAACCCACACCGAAGCATGCGCCGCAGGGCGGAGGCCGGCACAGCCCCGGCGCCCGTCCGGCGCAGCGCGAACAGCGCGCACTGCGGGCGGCGCCGAACCGCGCCCAGGTCGTTTCTCTCGAGCTAAAAACTGGATCTAGAAGCAAATGCAAAAGGACCCGCGGGCGCCTGATAGAGAAAAGAGCACAAGTTCGATAGTCAACTAAAAAAAAAAAACCATAAAAACATGCTTCTGCACTTGTGAAAGTGCTTAATCCATGGAACACACCCTTCACTCAGCCCCGAGGAGCGCACAGGCCTAAGGACTACTACTACAACCAAAGTAAGAGTCGATTCCGGTAAGGCAATGGAATTGTGTAAGTACACAGACCCAGACTCATCTCCTGATAAAGAAACAACAGTTCCCATTAGTCTTTCAATAACAAAACCACCGTCATAACTATGGCAGCATTTCTTACGCCTCTGAATTGGATGACATGTTTTTGTACTTTATTGTAGTTTTTATATAAAATTTTTTCATTCAAGGACTTTCATCTCAATTTGTGCCAATCACTTTACAAGTTCATTAGTTTAGAAATGATTGCAACAACCCGTTAATAAAATGGAACACCTAAAAAGGTTTTTAGTATTTTAAATAACTTCAAGCTTCATACTGTGGCTCTTCTTGTTAAGGAGGTTGAGCCAACAAGTAGCAGGAACAGCCCAGCAAGTTCTGATGCCCCCAGTGGAAGTGACTAGTTACAAGGTTTTATTGGCACAGCCTTGCTCTGCATAAAAACAAAAAACCAAAACAAAATAAAAAAAAAATTAAAATAATCTAAACAAAGAGCATCTTTTCCAATAAACAGTTCATATTCTCATACAGCCATGAAAAATGTTTAATGACTTAACATACATGTGTTTTTCCTATATCATTAATTTGGAAAATACTACAAACGCAGTCATTTTAGACCAGAAAAACTACTGTGATTTCCAAGACCTGACATTTCCTAAAACAATATTAAACAACGTATTAAACTTCTTGGCTTTAAATGAAACAATACAATGCAAATCTCTGCAGTCTGCATTTTGCAAGAAGTAAGAAATACACAAAAGTGTGTGAACAACTCACTCCTATTGTATGATCTTGAGTAAGTTGATAGCCTGCTGCAGGGAGAGTTTATGCTTTCAAATAAAAAAAAAGGGAGAAGGGAGGGCGTGGCCCAAATCTGCTTAATCCATAAGAACAAATATGGTAAAGGCCCAAACTGCTCAGTCCAGATGCCTAAGAAGAGCGGAATGGTAAGGCTGTAACTTATACTGTACGTGTCAGTTGACAGATAATCCACTAACTTATCTAATAGCTAAAGTCCTCAGGACAGCTGTTATAGGGGCACTCATAGCTTGAGTCTGTGTGTTGGAAAACATAAAAAAGAGCTTGTTTTGTTGACATTGGTCCAGGTATACAACAGTCCTCAGCATTAGCCATCTTCTTTTGGAGGAGTGTACCAGCCTGTGGAGAACAGAGACACGTTAGGTACCAACACTGCTGTGTCCAGACCATCCTACTCTTCACCTGTGGGAGATGGAAGCCTAACCTGGCTCAGTCCTTCCCTCTTAAAGCCAGCTCAGCAAGAGCCAGTGCCCTAAATGCGAGGAAGTCAGCAGTGGGAGACATGTGGCACATTCCAGGATCTGAGCTGGTGTTTGGGTGTGCACACACTGATTTCTGTGGCAGCAGCTATCCTGAGCTGGACAAGCTGAACACCAACAAGAGGAAGCTGCTGAAGGAGTAACATTGCTCTAACCAAACTTAATGGAGGAGAGGTAAAACCCCCAAGTCTTCAAGCTACTTAAAACATATAACATACAAACATAGACATACAAACATGACTGCACTGGGAGAGTTATATAAATCCCATTTTGTGTACTGTAGAGTTAGGCATGCACAAGCAACTGAATGGTTTATCCTACTTCTGCAAATCTTACCGTAGGAATAAGCTCAGAAATGCCAGCTGAATAACTGGTCTCCTGACATGATTTGCCATGTTTAACAGCTGAATCATACCTGATCAGGTGTGCACTGCTTTTTCCAGAGACCTCCAGAGCTCCAATCTTAATTCTCCCAGCCCATCTTGTAACATTTCCTTTAAATGTGTGTACAGTGACTACAAGGCCTATTTGTGCTGTCCCAGAGAGCACGTAGCAGCTCTAAGCTTGACACCTTTCACAGCAGCACTGAGTACTGTGAATGCTTTGTGTACAGCTCCTGAGGCAAGACTGGCGACTTGTAGAACACACAAGTAAGCAGCCACACTGGCTTTTGCAGCCAACAAAAAGAGCAAAAGGCTCAGTTAACGGCAAGATCAAAATACTGTAAAATTGGAGATGATGTTGAAGTCATTATCTTTGATCTTCCTCCCAAGAGTACAGGTGTTATGTTCCGTGTTAGCAGCAGGGAAGCTGAGGTGCTCACTGCAGCCACACAAACACTTTCACAATAACCTCAGTTCCTGGAGGACATTGTGTCCAACCCAAAACCCCAAACATCACAGAAGTGTAACTGCACTGACTCCCTCATCACAAGACCAGAGCACCAATTCTGCTGACTACCTTTACATAACATGTAAGCTACTTAAACCTTTTAAAGCCTCAGGCTTCTCACACTGCCACAGTAAATTCAATTATACCTGAAGCATTTATACACTTGTTTCATGCAGCAGAGAGACATTAAACAGTAAAAAAGCCCACACCAAAACAGGTGTTTCCCTATTCTACTGTATACTTCCCAAGCTAGTACACCTCACTTGGACTTCTATTTTTCAGTCTCAGGTCTCTTTCCCCACTCTCTCTTCATTAATGATTATTTCCACTAGGTTCTTGACACATGAAACAAAATCTTTCAGGGAAAGGGATAAACTCCCAGCAGATACTTCACCAATATTAAGAGTCCTTAAAGCTGCAGTAACAGTGAAGTTCCTAGGTCAAATGGCTGAACATGAAATGCAGCTGCCATTCAAGAAGCAGCAGGAACACACACACAACATTCAAGTAAACTGGAAAAGTTGCCATGATCGCAGTCAAGTTATTTAAGCACTACAGTGTTTCCAGTGCAAGATGAAAAGAAGGAAGAAACATTTATGGTCTTCCCAAGCCAAAATAAGACACTTTATCACTTCAAGTTTCTCTGTGGCAAACACAAATTCCCAGGGTGCTGTGCAGACAAGAACAAAGTGGCAAGAACATACATACCATTTTTCTCATGTATTTGTACTAGTGACTTATAGGACTGCTGTGCTCTTGCTAGATTATATTGATTCTGAAAGGAGAAAAAACTAACATAAAAACCTGCATCTAGACATGCAAGACTCAAAAAACAGTTCTAACAAGTATATTTTTAAGCCCACTGTAGAATTAAGTCCATGCACAATGTTGAAACATTCCTGGCTTTCAAGATTCCCTTCTTAGAACCAGAAATTCCAAATCCTCCCAATTCTCATCCTCCTTCCCTCCCCTCGCTTGCCAATACAAGGATAGCAAAAGCCTACCCTGCCCATCCCAAGGCTTTATTCACCTCATATCCTTGTAATTAATTAAACAAAAAAAAGTTTAATTGCCAATAAGAAACTCATACAGGCATGAGACAATTTGAAATGCATATATATTTGCAATAGCAATTCTGTCATTAAGCATCTTCTATGCAGGTCAGCAAGGAAATGCAAGCCCAACAGTGATTTGTGTAATTGAGAAACACAGCACATTTACCTTATTGGCTCCAAACTGTACTCTGGCTTTTCCTTTGACTAAAGTGGCATTGATCTGCATGATGACTGATTCTATTGAGTAGGCACTGCTCCAGCCCTGAAGGAGGAAAAGAATGCTAACATTCAACATGTACTTGCTTCCTGTGCTCACCTCAAAAAATCTGTTTTGGAACATGTGCTTTGGGATTTTTTTCCCCTGCATTCCAGTTTCAACTACTGATTTTCAGTTAACATTTATTTTCCACAGAAAATCTGTAGAATTATATACAGTCCTAGTACTAAGAACTTGTAAGAAGAAGGAAAAGGCTGAATTACATTTCCAAAATACAGCAAGACAGGAACCAAAAAAGCTCCATCCTTACACCACTGACACATTTTCAGCAATGTCACAACAGAAATTACAACTCCTTTTTCCAAGAAGTAGAAAAGACTGATCTCTAATGAAGTCTATTCAGTAAGTTGTAAGAAATCTGCTCATCTCTGGTATTGTTCTATCTTCCAGAGTTTGCAAAAGTTTCTGCCAGAGCCTGAAAGTAAGTTACTTCATTAATTTACTTATTTTAAAGAGAAAATCACTCTGTCTACACAAATCATCTATGACTGTAATCATCTGTATTCCTCACTTCTCCAGAGCTGACTTCACGCAGTTGAAGAGGCTTCTAGAAAAGAAAACAACAGGTCTTGCTCCCCCAGAGCTCACTCTCCATACTGCCTTCCTCACAGAAATTGAGAGCTCCAAGCTGACCTGTTCGCAATGCCTACCTCCTCCTCCTCACATCTCTTGTGAGCCATCCAAGGCAGAAAAGAAGATCTCAAACAAGATCAGCAAGGCAAATCTTGTGGAATTGAGGTTTAATTCCACCATGTTTCCTTTGCAGAGTGTAATTTATTCCACACAGGGATTCTTCCAACTCAAGAGAAGCATATATTTTCATTATTTGCAGACATGTTTTATTATCCAGATAATAGAGCTCATATTCACCTGTTTAGTAAGAAGTTCCATGCATAATGCACCTCCACCTAGGACATACCTAGAAACAAATGTGAAAGAAAATACGCTTGACATCAGCAGTTAGTAAAAAGATGCAAGTGCTCACAGCACTTGAAGCTCTTGCCAGCTT